AATTTAATACTTTTTCTTTTTTTTGGGGGGGGGTACCGGGGTTTGAACTCAGGCCATTGCGCTTGCCAAAGAAGTGATTATTCCACTGAGCCATCTCCTTGGCCTCCTAATTTGATACTTTTTCATAAAGGAATAACTAAAAATTGGAGTAAAAATGATTGGGGTTAAAAGAACTTCATCTGCATCCCTATTTTGTCTATTAACTGTGATACTCTGACAAGTCAGATTGAGTACTTGGAGTGCTTCCCAAAATAACCACTTATTTTTTAAGCTGTCATGTGGAATATTTTTTAAGATGAGCAAAAAAATATGGTAATTAAACAACTAAAGACTTAGCCATATTAAGGGTTTTTCTTGATTGCAAATTACCTGTAAAGAATTGAGTGTATACAGTGCTCATTACTTGCAAGTTTTTAAAAAATTCAATCATTGCTGCTTTTAAAGAGGTTTTCATTTTTATTTAAATTACTAATGGATCAAAGAACAATTGTTTATTTTTCTCTTTTGTTTTAGATATTAATGATAACCTTGTTATAATTTTTTTCCAAAGGAAATATTTTTATAATTCAGTAATTTAATGTTTTTTCTTCCTTTTCATTACCCATTCCTGGCAGTGTTAGAGTATCTCTTTATCTTTCAAATAATAAATCTGACTCAAGATTTTTTTACATATGTATAAATAAGCATTTTGGTGTGCTACGAGAGCTTTTCAGATTATCAGCCGTTTACGTGGTTTTGGTTTGTTTTTAAAGAATGAGCCAGGACTTGCTTAGTGCTTATAAGCAGACACTCAGATGAAGGCTCAACTCTAAGGAAGGGTTGAGCAGATGGATTTATTTTTTCCCACCTGTGAATATGTAGAACAGAACTATTTTGTCTGAGGGACTTTGAAACATCAGTGGCGGAATGAGAATGAGACTGTGTGCTCGCCTCACAGAGCTGGAGCCAGGCGAGCACGTTGGGAATGCAGGTGGAGCTCGTTGCTGGTGCAGTGTACAGTGGTGTGCGTCTATCAATGGGGCTATTTATGACTATTTAATACCATCTCTTTGTAAAGTGAATGAATAATAATCTTTTAAAAAAACAAAGATGGGCATTCAGGATGATTCTTGCTACAGACTCCTTGTGCACAGCCTCATACTCTTGGCTGCTCTGGCCTTCAGCAGGTTCATGAAGTTTGACTGCTTCACTGCCTACAAGAACCTTTAGCACTGTTTACAAGAATCTGGGTGGGCTATAGAACTCAATTCAAGATTACTATGGTTTTTCCAGATCTTTACATTCCACTGGACTCTTTGCATGAACTGACTTGTTGCTGTGAATCTTTTTTTAATAGCCAACAACATTAATTTTATTTGCATTTATTTTATGCTTAATTTTTCCCATGCCATAAGTTTTTTTAAAATTTTATTTATTTATGTGTGTGTGTGTGTGTGTGTGTGTGGCCAGCTCAGCCCATCGGGGGCGGGGCTGGTTGGCATGTGGTGCTGGGGGATTGAACCGCGGTCCCTTTGCTGTGCTAAGCTTGTTCTAAGTAGGTGCTTTAGACCACTAAGCCATCTCACCAGCCCCAGCCATAAGTTTTTGTTTCTTCGGTTTCTTCTGGAATATCTTTTTCTTCCGTGTAACTTCCTCCTCTGGTTTAGGAACAATTTGTTCCTAAGGATCATCTCAATATGGCAGGGGGAGCTCATGTGCCATATTGAGCACATCTTAGGTGTTTTGTTCACCTGGATATGTTCAATAACCAGAGAATCTACATCTAAACCCTTAAGCTCAGCATGACTCTCTGCATGTTTAAGCATGTGCAGTAAAACTCAGTATTTTTTTTGGGCCACTGATCCTGTGTCCAGCCCTACTGTTTGGCCTTGGCGCACCTGCCAATTCCACTATTGCAATGCCAGAATGGCACACATTGCTTCTTTTTTTTTTTTTATGAAAAGTTGTTTTTATTTTTATAAAATTTAGTACAAATTATATTGAAATATAAATCCTTCAACAGTGTTAGCTATCATTACATAGTAATCCATAGGCAAATGAATATTTTATTTTTTCCAGCTAGAGTACAGGCTAATTAGCCCTTCATTCTCCTGTGATGTAAAAAGTCAATATCTTACTGATGAGTCATCTTCATTTCACATTTTTCTCTCAGAGAAGTTTCTTTGTAGTTATTAGCTACACATCAAGAAAACCTGAAATATGGCTCAGTAGAATAAGCACTTCCCTGGCAAGCGCAAGGGCCTGAGTTCAATCCCTGGTTCCCACCAAAAAAAAAAAAAAAAAAAAAAAAAAAAAAAAAAAGAAAAAGCTGAAATGAGGGATTACTTTCCTCTTATCAGCTATCCAGATTTCTTATTATCTAAAAAAAATTTTTTTAAAACCTACATATATTACCTTGAGTGCCTCAAATAGCAAAATCTACAATCCCCTCACTTCTGAAGGGTAAAAGAGAAAAGAATTGGTACCAGATTAAGACTGTTCATTTGTCTGGTATGGAACAGGGTGCACTGTGCCAAAATTCAAGAGCCAGCTTTTTCTTTCTTTTCTTTCTTATTTTTTTCCTTAAGCTCATATGCCAACCCACTCTATTCTACTAGGCTTTTGCTGAAATCAGCATTCCCCAGCATCCTACTTTGCCCACAGTTTTGCTGGAAAGAACTTCCCCCGTGTTTTAGGGCCACTAATAGAAACAGAGGTGGAGATGCTGTGTCTGCCGGATTACTTCAATGCCCACCAAAACTGTTTAACTAAATGACTGGCATCTAAAAAAGACCTATTAACATGCTTTGAAAGTTGCTTTTCCTTTTACAGTAATGACTTCATATGGCTCCAGTCACTGTCATGCTTTCTGCAGCCAGTGACATCCATTTGCAAGGTCACTCATTAGATCTGTATCAGCAGTGGCCACAAGTGGAATGGTCTTGATTTCTATAGCACCATTTGCTTATTCACCAACTGAGCTAACCGATCACTATCACTCTGAATAACATGGTAAAAATAAAAAAGAAAATGAATAAATGAGTAATACTGCATTTCTTTTTCATAAAAGCACTGCATTAAAGACATTCATTAACAGAACTTCACATATCTCTATGAAATAGAACACAGGGTATTTCATTCCCTTACAACAGGTTTAGAGGACAGCAAGCAAGTGAACTGACCAAATGATCTGGCAAGTGAACAGCAAAACTAGTTTAAAGAATTCAGGAGCTCTCAACTCCTAGCCCCTTGTTCTAGGCTTGGACTCTTGCTCCTAATGTGAGATTAGAGACTACCACACCGAGAAATATTTTTTCTTCCAAGACTGGCCTTCTCATATTAGTTTGTCTTTAAAGACATGTACCTGTTTTAGAGAAAGGAGAAAAGGTAGTGAGAATATTAAAAAGGGATGTATCTGAAATTTACAAAAAGAAAAAAAAATTATAAAAATTAGCCTCATCACCCTGAGACCAGTACCTACACTAGAGTCTTTGGTTCTGGTTTGCAATATGTGCAGCCACGCTGTAACCTGAACTCTCATCTCCTGCACCGTGGAATCCACATGGTAAATCCCTATGGAATTTAGTCATGGCCTCTCATGCCTAGGAGATTAATGCACAAAAGCCCTGAGAACTGGAGTAGTTTTCCTGGTATGGCAGAACCCGCACAACAAGACTTGGTAAATCTACCCACACTTCATTCATCTTGCATCCAAACCCCCCAGCTGTATAACTTTTGTGCAGAAAAGAGTTAATGTAGCAGGCCCGAACTACTACTATCCTTGGAAAGGACTGCTTGCAAGGTTGGCCCATGGCTGGTATCTGAGAACTAAGATTTCCAAGGGGTGGGACGGGCTCCAGGCATTAACTGATACAACTGGCAACTGCACTTAAACTGTCTGGGCAAATAATATGGCTTATGGTGAATACCTGCTTTCCTGCTGGGAATCTTGAATTTTGCGATGTGCCAGGCCAAGGCTGCCCACATGCCCTGCCCCCAACACCAACGCTGGGCACCAAGTCCTAAATGAATTTCCCTTTCATACATCATCAGAAGTCAATACTAGAGAAATTAAGCACATCCAGTGGGAGCCAAATGGCACAGAACTCTTAGTTTGTGCTTGGCTTGACTGGGATGCTCCTCCTACAGCCTTCCCTTTGCTGGTTCTTCTTTGTGTCCTTTCACTACCATAGATTAAAGCTGTAAGACTATGTGATGTGTTCTGTAAATGTTGTTAGTGAATCATGGAAGTAGGGGTAGTCTCAGGGACCTATGACACAGCAGATATAAACATTCTTCTTTTTATTTTTATGTACTTTTTTCATTTATTTATTTGGTAAAGGGTCTCACTACGCAGCTTGGACTTGTAGTGATCCTCCTGTTTACAGTCTCCCAAGCGCTGGGATTACAGGAGTGCACCACCACTCCGAGACTCCATGGCTGGCTCAGCATGCCCTGGGGCACAGAGCAAGGATTGGTGGTGGTGGTGGTGGTGGTGGTGGTGGTGGTGGTGGTGGTAGTGGTGGTGGCAGCGGTGCAGCATGTGGAACCAGGAATCAAACCCTGGTCCCTGCACTTGTCAAAGCAGGTGCTCAGTCTGCTGAGCTATCTCACTGGCCCTTACATTCACCTTTTTAAAGAATCCAGCTACCTGAGCCAATGTTCAGAATGTCAAAGGCATGCTCTTCCTCATAGTCCCTTACTCAATAGATCATGTAGCAAAATTGCACAGATTGTTACACAGAAAGCAGGAATAAGCATACATTAAAGGAATTACTTCTCAAAGTAAAAAGAAACAGCACTTTTCCTTTCAGGTTCCCTTCAAAGCTGTCGGCATAGCAAGCCTTCTTGGGACAAGAGAACCTAGGGTCACTGCACACAAAAAGGAATGCCAGCAGCTCTCGCCTCACAGCGCTGACCTGGACAAGCTGCCACTGACAGTCCTCACTTTCAACAACTGTGTCACTGTGGAAGCTGGCATTTTAATACTTTATGCTCGGCTTGAAGGCTGACCAAGGTGATCAATAATTTTAGCCCTTTATGGAAACCTAAGTTTGTTATAAGCCTGATCCTGTATCAGTCCGATTTCCAACCTGGTCCCCACGGCTGACTCCACCCTTCTCCTAACTGGAGCAACCCTCGCCTAGTGTATCTTGAGATGTCCATTACTCTTCAGCTGCCGTTCCTCACTCCACCTGCTTCTCCAGGCATGGTATTTTTTGATGCTTTTCTTCCAAGCAAAGCGCCAGATGCTAAACATGAAACACCAAGACACAGCGTACATCGCTACTCCCCCAACCTTCACAAACCACTTGGGTGTGGGTGAAACCATTTCACAGAAAAGGAGGCGAGCTCCTACACCAATCCTCACTCCAGTGAACAGAGCCACGAAGAGAAAGTCCACCACATCGCCGGTGAAACTGTGATAGTGCCCTGTTTCTCGGAGAAACCAACGCATCTGCAGTAAGGGGTTGGTGATCTCACTTCCAAAGAGGACTGCGTTGACCTCTGTGCCCGACTCCCCAAGTGCCAGGGCCATGATGATGCCCAAGATGCTCAGTGTGTGGTGAGCCAGCATCAGGGGACCCTCAGACTGGAAGTAGATGCACCAACCCAAGTCAAAGATGAAGTAGCCCAGGGTGAGACACAGAACGTGAACCTGGAGAGGAGTGTTGGGTGATCCTGCATGGGTAAAAGGCCATGGGCCATCAATGAAGCCAATATAAGCTGAGAGGCCTATTGAGAGGACTCCGTGGGTGAATGTCACCAGCCGGCAGCTCCACTCATAGCTTCGGTGCTTATTCAGGTGGCAGAAAGATGTGTAGAGTGAGAGCCAGCCACACAGACTGCACAGCACCTACAGACAGAGGGCTGGCCAGGCGCTCCCGCAAGCCTCGGGCGCCTTGGTGCCCACAGCCTAGGGCCTGGATCGCGGCAACAGGAAGCACACATTGCTTCTTTAATGTGACAACCTTCAGATACTTGGTGGCCTTTCGGATATGCATAGCCTTGATGGCCTGGCAGTTTCATGCATGTTCTTAAAGTGAAAATGAAAATTTGAGCTTCTTGATTTGCATGATTTTGGGGAGCTTTCTGGGTCGAGAGAGTAGCAAACCATTTTCACAGGTCACCTCAGGCCACTCACAGAAAGACCCTTGCTGTGAAGTTGCAGGTGCCGTGGAGGAGGTCCCAGCTGAGCCTTTCCTGGTCCACTCTCCTCCAGGTCTGCTGTTCCTTGCTGTAGTGGCTCAGCTCTTGTGTAGCTTTGGTCAGTTCTCACTCCTAAGTAGAGATCTGTGACTCTTCAGTCTGCAGCTTGGAAAGATGAGATCAGCTCGGCCTCCTCAGCGCGTTTCTTTCTGTCCCCTTACGCTTTATCCTGAAGATCCAGAATCCTACTTGTTCTCTGTTTAATAGTATCATGTCTGCAGTTAAGGTCATGTTCCACAGTATTTTTCCCCACACAGATCACCTATTTCATTGTTGAGAGTATCTAGCTCCTTAATAGCAGAGAAATCTGCCACAGGACTTGATCCTGTGATGTTCTGTGTGGTCATCTTGTCTCATGGTGGAATCATCTCAGGACTCAGAATGTGAGGAGCAGCCAGGCACTTTATGAACTGATGCTTGGTTAAGGGAAAAACCAAAGCAGACTGATCCTCTGGAGTCTTCCCACAGTCCTCTGGCTCACATAAAGCACAAATATGGGCTAGTGAGGTAGAAGGTAAACCTGTTTTCAGGAAGAGTTCATGGCTGTCCAATCAAGACAAAAATCCAATGTATATCTCTATCTGTTTTCAAGAAGTTTTCATTATATTCTGCTTTTTCTGCAGGTGATCCCACCTACATTTTAAGAGATGCCAAAGTTGGAGGCAAGGACATAGCCACAGGTTCTTTCTCCTGTGCACAGTTGTGGCAAATCACTGAAACTGCATCAAACCCCAGGCTCTTATGAATACCTGAGGACGTGACCCTGCTCTTCTAGCACAAGTACGCAGTAGCATATAATCATGTAATTATGACCTAGCCATGGACAACTCTGCAGGAGCCAATGAGACTACCATGAAGAATGTAATGTGAGATGACAACCGGTACAATAAATACACCCAGGGCTCTTGTGCTCTGCTCTGCTCTGCCTGCTGTTGTTTTGCACATATGTGTTCTCTAACCTGGGGATCTCATCTGTGAAAATCCCACTTGGGCCCCCCAAGTGGGCCAACAACTGGAATAGTAGGCAGCAAATTCAGATGAGTGGACCTATTGTGGTGGAAACAGCACCTGAATTCTAGGGAAAGCCCTGAAGGATGGCTGAAAAGTGACCCCCTGCCTACCACGGCTACCTATAGCCACCTCTTGGCAGCTTGGTAGAGCCCTGGTAAGGGGGGAAAAAAATCTATTTAGAGCCTGGAAATACCCAGCAAGACTTGGAAGCAATAGATAGACAGATTCCTCCCCATCACTGTAAAAGGGCGGGGTGGGGAACTTGGTGTTTCTTCACTCTCTTCCACTGCATAAATCAAGAGGCAGGTGGCCTTGTTGAGTAAGGAGACCACGTGGGGCTTGGTAGATGAGTACCCCGAGCAGCCAATGGTTGGCTGCTGTGGAGAGTTCATGTTGCAAGGTGTGGCAAGCACAGCCCCTCCTGGAATGTATACAGAAGCAGGCAATCAGAGTGACATATTGGTTGATGGCAGAAGCTCGTCTGGCTTGAAAAAAATCCATGTGTTGGCTGGGTGTGGTAGTGCACACCTGTAATCTCAGCAGTTGGAAGGCTGAAACAGGAAGATCCTTGGGAGTTTCAGACCAGCCTGGGCTACAAAATGAGCCCAAGGCCAGCCTGAACTTCATAAGTGAGATCCTATCTCAAAATGAAAAAAAAAAAAAAAAAAATCTATGTATCCTTGCTGGAGCAATTCATTAAATAACCTTTCAATTTTTTTTTTTAAATTTTATGTATTTGTTACAAGGTCTCACGATGCGGCTTGGACTCATAATGATCCTCCCGATTCAGCCCCCTCAGTCGTGGGATTACAGGCACGCACCATTATGCCAAGTCTTGGTGGCCAGGCTCAGCATGCACAGGGAAGGGTTGGCACAACATGCAGTACTGGGGATCAAACCCAGGTCCTTGAGCTTGCCTAGGCAGGTACTTAGACTGCTGAGCTATCTCTGAAGCTCACTTATCAAGATTTGCTACCTGTGCTGAATGAAATGGACACATGGCAAATGATATTTGTACTGCAGAATCCTGGCCCAGATGCAGAGCTCTTAACAGCATGAATGAAGAACATGATCCTGATGAGTGGGCTGGTGGGCACACTCTGATCAGCAACAGCCCTTTTAGCCCCTTTACAGATCACCTGACCCACAATGCCATGGATGCCTTGGCCAGGCTGGAAGATGTGTAAGTGAGCACTAAGGTAAAATGAGAACTGTATTAAGTGTACCAAGGAAAGAGAAAAGGACAGAGCTTAAGGTGAGTAGGACCATTCCCCCAAGGATAGCCTGTGAGGCCCCTAAGGGCAGTTGGCACCAGCTCTGGCCACCCCTGCTGGCCCAGCCACAGATAAGTTAGAGTGGCAGGCTTTGGACATCTTGCTGACCCTGTGGGGGCAGTTGCACTCTGAGCAGTCCAATGAGCCTGAGCCAGAAGGCTAAAGCAGCCCCAGGGAAGCAATAAGAAGTGATGTTGGCCACCTTTTGCCCCGATTAGGTTGACTGAGGTGCCTGGTTCTTGGGGGTCCGTGGAGACTGCAGGCCACCTATGGAATTGGCTATTTATTGTCCTCCCCCTAGCTGAGCCCATGCGAATAATGCCATTTTGCAAGACTGGAGGCAATTGCATCATGGCACAGAAGGCCCAGGTGACTTAGGGTATTGGGGGTCTGCCCCCATGACCATATGATGTTCAAATTTCTCCAGTTGCTACCTACATATATACTGAGGGTGGACATAGTCACTGCTTCTCACCTAGACACCACGCAGGGGAGAATTCCAGTTGCAAATTGGAGTGATAAAACCCATAGTCTGCAGGCTTCTACAGCAGGCACTGCTGACTCTCATGCATACTCTGCGAGTTGTGGGTGTGAAACAGCACTGGGTGCCTGGAGGTCATGGAGAAATGAGCTAGATTGTCTTGAAACTGAAAAAAGCAGGAATGATACACCCAAACAGAGCCCTTCAGTGTGACTCATGCAGAAGCCAATAGATAGTGCTGAATGGCTGCAAGGTCTCACTGTGACGCTGGCAGTCAGGACCAATTTGCCTTCACCCAGGTGAGCAGGAAGTGGACCTTCTAGATGTTGCCACAAGGCTATTAGTGTAGCCCAGCTTCGTGTCGTGGCCTGGTGGGCCAGGACCTGGCCACCTGTGCCCAGCCACACTCTGTGTCACTGCTTTTATTGAGGATATTATGTTAACCTCAGACTGCCTTGCAGATTTAGAAGCCACTGCATAGTCAACAATTGTGCAGCACTGTGGGCCGAGGCTGTGGACAGAGACACGTTCCAGTTGCAGGTGTACCCAGGCTTGCTAGGTTTTTGGCAGATGTCCTGCACCTAGCTACTCCACTGTGTCCTTTACACTAGGTGACCAAAACTGGCACAATGTGAGGATGGATAGACACAGCGGCAGCTGCTTTCCAGGACTCAAAAGGGCAGTTGTACAGATATGAGCCCTTTGAGTCATTGATCTTAAACTGCCATTTAGCCGGAGTATGGATAATATGGGATCTAACCTGAAAAATTCTCTCTTGTGTCCCCGTAGTAGTGTACCCATAACATAGCCCTTGAACAAAAGTTCTTGCATTGACAAAAGCAAATGAAAATCAGAAGGAAAATTTTATTGCTGCAAACTCATCTCCATCAATCATTGCATCATGGTCAGTATCATTCATCTAGCTAACACGTCCAGGCCTTTTCCCAGGTAACTTAATGTTTAGCATCACTGGCTTTACTTGATCACCAAATATCCATTCTCTGAGCTTAACATAATCAAAATGTACATCATGTTTGGACTTCTGTTCAGATTTTACAGCCTGTTGGAGCTCAACTGTAGAAGCACCACTGGATAGCAAAGCACCACTGTTATCGTGGAATCTTAGTGGAGGAACAGAGGTTCAAGTTACTCAGAGGAACCTTCAGTCCATTCTGGGCACATGCCACACACAGAAAACAAAGAATTCTCATTCAGGGTGCCTTCACCATCTGTTTCAGCTAAATCCCCAATTTTTCCCATTAGTAAGTCTGGATGGTCTCAATTTTTTCAAGAAAGTAGTAGCATCTGAAGCGAACACCCTTCCAGCATTGTCATATACTTTTCTTATACCAGAATCACCCTTGGTAACTGTGTCAGGGTGAGCTGGGCAGTTGAGGCCTTGGTGTTGCTGTCCTGCAAGGGAGGGGAAGCCCTTTTCAGTTTTTGAGAAAAGGTCTTGCTAAATTAATAATTTGCTTCTAATGGTGTTTGTAAATAGGATATCATGTCTGCATCTTGTACAGCAATTAACCACTAGGAAGAATGTATGCAATGTGTTAATTATTAAAACTGTCCTACCAATTTGATTTGAAACTGTCTCATTGCAATTTGTTTATCAATAAAATTATGGGGAAAAATTAATTAATTAATTAATAATTTGCACAGGCTGTGTTCAAATATCCCATCCTAGTGCTTCCCAGAAAGCTGGGATTTCTAGGCATCCACATCCATTTCTGCTCTAGGATTCTATTGAAGACTTTTTCTGTGTAGCTTTTTCACTGTTCTTGGGTTCAGACACTTGCTGCTCCAGCCCAGAGCAAATCCTTAAGCTCTTGGCTGCCAGTTCCCTCTGGGACAGGCCACAGTTCCTCAGATGGTAGGATTCCACCTAGTGCCATACCTTTGGATTACAGAACGAGAAGGGCCAGCAAGGGATATGTGCTCCCTCTGGTGCCTGGGAAAGAGACATTCAGACAAGAATGATTCCAACACTGTGAACCTTCTACTTAAGCCCATCCTTGCAGGAAATCAGCCTGCTAGGAATACCTAGTCAGAGGGTAACAAACCTAGATTGAACACATAGATGTAGAGATAATTTGGAACAAGTGGGCCAGAAACTTCATGCCTAATATTGGAAAAAGAGCCCTGAGTATTTGGTTCACCTTGTTTTTATTCACTTAGGAAAGGGAGCAAGCAATGAGGTTATTGGAAGATTCGTGTACTCCTTGTTATCTGTAGCGTATGTGCAGGTGAGCATCCAGATCTCAGCTGTAGGGGCACTACCCTGGACCTTGCAACATGCCAGCAAGACACACTTGCTAACATGAGTTTGCTGTTTTTCTCTTTTGTGCTAAAAGAGTTCATCAGTTAGACCTTGATCCTCATTACTTCATCTCCTAGACCTTGATCCTCATTACTTCATCTCCTTAGATAAAAATTACAAACAGAATGTTCAAGAAGTTCATCCAATTCTTATAAATTTTCATCTCCTTCAAGCCCCTACTTTCTTTTCTTTCCCAACTCACTCTGTCTCTGTCTCTGTCTCTGTCTCT